AAAATAGTGTGAAATTTATAATTGACCAATTTTAAGATTTTTTAAGTAATAAAGCTGGCATAGATTTCTCTATAAACTAAAGGGTACGCTTAGTCCACAAATCACGTGATTGGATAAGAGATATAAGGATTTTAATAAAAGATTATTAAAAGATAGGGTTAGGTAAACGCAATGCACAATTGTTTTTCTTTTGTTTCTTAATTAGATCGAGATTAGAAAATTATTTTTTACATTTTGATTCAATTTCTGAATTATCAATTGTTCCTAATAAAGGTAAAAATTCCAGAAAATTCGAAATCGAACTGTCACGAGTTATCCAACAAGAAACCATTTCCGAAATACTTCAATGGAGGAAATAATCATATAAATTGATGATGGGGGATTACAGAATGAAATTAGGATTAATAATTAGATTAATGAATAATAAAAATTTATAATGAACAATAAAAGAGAGCAATTGTTAAATAATAAGCATACAATTAAAAAGAGTAAAAACCTTTCACGTTTTTATTAATGGGAAAAAGTAGTTAATAAAAAATTGTTAAAAAAAATCTATAATTAATAAAAATTCTTTTAAAAATAAATAGCAGCATAGCAAAGGAAGAAAATAATCTATTGCATTTTTTTGTCGATAGTGATTTTCGTCATGAAAAAGAAAATGATCTTTCCAAGCTGGAAAAAATATTTGGTTTATTTATCGACTGCATAAAATTAAATCAGTATTTCGTACAAATCACAGATAAATATACATACCTTTTGTTTGAACTATCAAGATATCAAATGAACTTCTGAGTTGGCATGAAAACTGTTTGGCATGTGATAAAGTTAGAATAAGCATATGCTGCAACTTCTGAACGATTTCTGAATACAGGCCATAGTTTAAGACCGTGCTTTAAAAATTTTAAGAGCCATAGCCAGGTGAGAGTATAAGGAAATTAGAAGTCAAAATATTGATCAGGAAAAAAAATTCCAATAAAAAATTTTTACTAAAAAGATAATTTTCAGAATTTAATAAAGCATGTTTATTCTTTCAAAAAAAAAAAGATAAACTTTCATGAATAATTAAATAGAAACTACAGTTTATGCGTCAAACTTTGAATATCATAGATTTCAATTGGTTGAAGAATTTATAGCACAAAAGCTGAATAGTTGCCTCACTACTCCAAATTAAAGGTAAAAATCTTACGATGAATCTTTCAAATATTTTTTAAAAAAAAGAAAAAAAGGCGGCACTAGAAATATTTTATCGATTACGTTCAAATTTTTTAGTTAAGTGACACATTTTTAAATGAAGTAAAAATGAGTATATGCCTTACTTTAAAAAAAATTCTCAACAATACTTATTAACCTTTGCTTTAAGAGCTTAGCATGGAGAGCCCGTCATTCTGGTTCACTTGTACCATCTGTAAATAAAAAGTTAAATAATACATTCTTTTTTCCCATTTGCATAGAATTATCAGTGGATAAACTACTTTTATATATTAGTATAAGTTAAAATTCATTAAAAAAGTAAGTTAATACATTCAATAGTTGATTGCTCTTGACTAAATTACAGGGCAAATTTCTTAAAAGCCAAGAATGACTAACCTCATAATTTGAGGGTCAACTATCTAAATCTGGAAGGAAAAAAAAGGTAATTTTTAGCCTATCTAAAGAACATCCTTCGCCATTGGTCTGAAGCACAGTTTGTGACTATGGTTACAAGATTGAACTATTTGATGTTATGTTGTTAATTTACGTCGCACTAGAGCTGCACAATGGGCTATTGGCGACGGTCTGGGAAGCACCCCGGAGGATGATCCGAAGACATGCCATCACAATTTTGATCCTCTGCGGAGGGGATGGCACCCCCGCTTCGGTAGCCCGACGACCTGCGTGCAAAGTCGAGCACTTTACGGTAGCACAGTTTAACGAGGACCAATACCGCACACCCTCGGTCCCTACGCAGACTGATCCAAGTGGTCACCCACCCGCACACTGACCGTAGCCAGTGATGCTTGACTTCGGTGATCTACTGGGAACCGTGTCTTAACGATCAGTCCACTGCGGGACTTGAACTATTTGAAATACGAGTGTGGGGTGAAGATTTAGGACGAGTTTTGACAAGTGTTGGCGAGAGAAATATAGAAAAGCTCCTCTTTCTACAATGTGCTCTCTCTTGTTTGAACAGCAGCGGAAAGAGTTTTTCCGATTGTGTGGAGTTGTTTGCTTCAGGTTTTAAGCATGGTTTCGGTTTTCAATATTTTTAACCTCCACAAGCAAATATTCGAAGTTTTATAAAACATTCTCCTTCCAGTGGCTACACTGAATTAGTTTTGGTTTACAAAATTTTTAACTAGAAGTGATAATGGGTACGCTTTCCAAAATTTCTAAAAGATGATGCCAACAAATTTAGCTATTGCTATGTAATGCTAGAAGCATCATTTAACACTAGAAAGACTGAAACTTAGTATATACCTATATTGCCTAAAAGCAGTCAAAATGACTGGATTGTAAAAGTATAAATAATGTGTAAAGAAATTTGCTTAAAATTAATTTTTAATATTTTTATATTATTTACAGTTATATAACAAGTTATCAGTAAATATTAAAAATAAAAAAATTATATGTGGTACAAAATTCTAAGAAATTGTGTCATTATATATATCATTGTTTTTCTAATTGAAATTAAAAGCAGTCAAAATGACTTCCTTAGGCAATCTAGTGTTAATGACTAAATTAAACACCAATTTTAATTATAACTAATGTGATATTTCATGGCACCATCTAATGATAAAAATATTGATTTTTTCATTGCGAATGTTTTAATTTTATAAATGAATAAAACAAATATATATAGTTAATTCAGAATTTGAACTTATAACCAGAGAACAAAATGCTTTCATGGGATACTGATTCTTCACTATGCTAACCCGTATACTCATGAACACATACAGTTACATGGTTAAACACACCCAGAGTAGCGATTAATGTATAATTTAATTCAAAGTAAATTGCTTATAAATTAGGTGAGTTTGCCACAAAGAAGAGCAAAAAAGAATACAACCAATCACAAAATAGTAATTAACTTAAAGATACATTAAACGCGAAGTGAAGAAAACTGTCAAACATTTAACAAATAATGAGTGATTTTGTAAGATCCGGAAGAATATAATAAGATAATGCTTGATCAGATAACATCTTGCAATAATTGTTACCATTCGATAAAGAAAAATATAAGTACTTCAATAACCAATAAATAAAATAAAGACATATGAGCTAAAAGATTTTAATTTAATACTTCAGTGTTACGATTCTGGGAACAATAATCAGAAAATGTTTTTCCGTAATCGCCTGCTATTATAAATTCATTTTTAAAATTTTATTGGTATCTGTTTGCGTCCATGGTTCACTGGCTAGCGTAGTGAAAAATCAGTATATGATGGAAGCATTTTGTTCAGAGGCTGTGAGTTTAAATCCTGCATTAAATATATTTGTTGTATTTATAATTTTGAAACATCTCTTATTTTCAATGAAATAAATTAGTAAATAGAGTAATAGCTAGATGGATTCATAAATATCACATTAGTTATAATACAATAGAATAATCTAAACTGGGTTATTCAATTTGTCAAAGCCGCAAAAAAGAGAATGATCCAAATTGTGATGGATATAGTTGAGAGATATTTTGGAATTTTAAAGGTTAAGAACTGGAAAACTTTAGTCAGAGAGTATCTTGGAAATCTCTTCAAAGTAAAGCATTGGCCCATCCTGGGCTGTTGTTCTACTGATGATAATATGAAACATCAGCACTATAAAGAGGTAAGAGCAGGTAAGCTGTTAATAAAGTACATTTTTTCGTTAAAAATTGTGTTATTATAATCTGGTAGAAAAAAATTGAGTACTAGGTAGTGTTTCAAAAATTACCAATATTTTTTTTAGGAAAAAGAACTTTACACAACCACAGATCAAAAGCATATGTGTAGCATGGGGGAGGGGGGATATTTTTCAGAAACTTTTTCATACCTCCAGTTTTATAAGTATATTTATACATAAATATATACATAGATAATGAGTATGCATATACTTATTAAAACTTAAAATAAATAAATCGTTTTCTAAAAATTAAAAGTGTGCCCCTCTAAGGCTGTGCCTATGGTCAAAAGTAAATCACAGGTTCATTATAACTTGATGAAATTCAAAATGATCACCTAGCAGGATGACCATATTTAATTGAACATTAATGCCACCATTCCACAGAGTCAATACATGCTTCAGCATCAGGGGACAGGGGGATTCAATTTCCAAAAGTCATGATCTGTGTTCACATGAAGTAACTTTGAATACAGGGGATTTAATGAAGCCTTATGCAAAACTAGTCAAAAGGTATAAAGTCAGAGAAATGGCGTCAAAATCCAAGGTAACCCTTACATAATCTAGAATCAGGAAATCTCCAGTGAATACAATTGTAGTCTATATAAGCAAACTGTGAGGTGCCCAGTTCTCTTGAAATTAACTGTTAGACAAAATAAACAAAATTTAATTTAATGCAGATATAATTTTGTTTAATTTTCTGCTTCAGTTCAATACAAATGGAAGAATCTCAAACATTGTAGAGTATGCTAAAACTTTTCAACCATAGTCACATGACTAAAATAAGTCAATATTTTTGGTATAAATTAACTTTTTTTAAAAATTTTTTTTTACCTGTACATTTTAATTAGTACATTATTAAAAAAATTGTTAAACACTTTTGAATTTGACTCAAATATTTAAAAATTAAACACTGATTGGTTTCCTTTCAAATTGCTCCAGTAATTAAAAAAGAAAACATGTTTGAGCATAACACAGCAAAACTTAAACTTGATTTCACAAAATTTATCTTTAACATAAATATTTGTAAAAGACAAATTTATTTTTTGTTATAATACATTGACTTTTGAGGGAGTAATATTGATAAAATGGCAGACTGTTGAGTAAAACATTTAATATAAAAGAGCAATAAATGAACATTACAAAAGTAGAATTCAAAGAATGCATTTATTTATACATATTTACAGCACTGATAACTTTCTTTTGAAAGGAAACTGTTAACAGATGATCTTGAATGATATTTACAGGTAACACTGTGAAACTTCTTGAGACTTAAAATTTGTTTCAATAGCAGTACAATACCTTACCAAAAAATTGTTACAGGAAACAAATATTTTGATGCATAATTTTGATTGCAAGCCTTAAATAATGAGACTTCTGTGATTACATAATTGACTTTCAAACAACAGAAGTAATGGTAAAAAATATATTTTTCCTTTTAAGAGCCCAGAAACATCAATTTTTTCAAACAATTTTGACATTTTTGGCAAGGTATGAACGAAATACAATACAAACAATAATTCTGAGCTAAGCTTTCAAATCAATAGATGCAGATACAGTGAAACCTTTCAAGTTGACCTCCTTGTAAAATGACAGATTTCTAAATTACCTCGATTTTCAAGAACAGAATATAATTAAAGGAAACAAAACCTTTGTAAACTTGGTCACCTGTCTATCAACTGGTAAAATAAATCAAATTTGTCTAATAGTGGTATTGAATGCCATTCTAAGCCCTTCATAAACTGACTGGAATAATAATTTCTAAGGAAAATTTTCATGTAACTACATTATGCCAAATTTCCTGAATTCCTGGAGTAGTATTAAAAATTAACTTAAACCCTTTAGTGAGTTAATTAAATAAGGAAAGTATTGAAGGCTTTGAATAGTAAAGAACAACAAATTTATTTTGTAAATATAACAATATAAATTTTAAAATGTTGACATTAAAATAATATTAAGTTTTCTAGTTACATATTATAATAAAAAGCCAACACACTAAAAACCAAATTGGCATACTTAAAAAAAATCAAGTTAATAAGAACATTGCACAACAAATCATAGTTCATTCTAGTAAATAATTTAAATGTAACGAACACTGAATCAAGTTAAAAAAATAGAATTATATTTATCAATATTTTAATCCATAGTATGAATACAATATCTAAATAAATGCAAAAATAACCCAACTCAATCCCTGCGATATGTTGACCACAAAAACAAAGCACCACAAATGGTCAATTTACATAGGTTTCACTGTACGACAGAAAAAATAGTAAATTGATTGACGGTTAACAGATACAAAAGTTCCTTTTGCAACTGATAGTAACAACCTTACTTAGCATACCTATTATAGTTTTCTTTTGTATCACTAAACTAAAATGGAAACTTAATACAAATATCAATAGTTAACTAAACACTGCTTTGCTGGAAAGTTAGAATACAAAAAAATATTTTAATAATAAATAAATGAACCATTCAAGAACTAACATTAGTAAAAAATGATCATAATATTTTCACTTCAAGTTAATCTTAATAGAATACTTTAAATTAATCATTTAGGAATTTGAACAAGTGTGAACCCAGTTCAATTTGCATAGAAATTTAGATCCTGCACTTTTTTCCTGCAGATTTTTAAATTTAAGACAGAACAGGGCAGATCTTAAAGTTACCTAAACATTAACATGCTCTTTACTAAGAAAAAATCTTAAAGGTGCTGATAATGCCCAACATTTTTTGCCATAGAACATTTTATGGTTCTATACACATTTCTTGATCACAGAAGTCCTTCATGCAGCTATTTTAAAGCAATCAGACAAGCATAGGAGAATTTATATAAATCTAAATTAATAAATCAAACATGGAATGATGAATGATTGAGAATAATTTGCATGCACTAAAACAGCACATAATTATATTAAACAACATTTTCTAATGAAATAAGATTTTGAATCAAAAAGGATTATTTTTTGAGAAATCGAATTATATTCTTTCAAAATTAAAGGATTTAACTGAATAGTTACATTTATCCTTTTTCCTTCTGGCACCTTGAATTATGTTAAAACCAAATTTACATTTCAGCCATCCACAATATTTTAAGTGGTTGTGAAATAAAAATAATTAAATAAGGGAACTCTTTTTAAACTTAAGAGACACTTAAAATCATAATATGTTAATCAGATTTCTTAAAGATTAATATAGATGATTATAATGTTTTCTGATTTATTTATATGTGATGTGGATAAAATTATTTTAAATTAAATTTATAATAAAATTTTGAAGCACAACTGCTGCTATTATTTAAAGTATGTGGTAAAAATCTCTAGTTCAAAGCTGAGATTCATAGAGTAACCGGTCAGTAACTTTATGTTAAAACTTAAATGAATGTAATAAGTTCAATATAAACAAAAAAAATTTGTCAGGACTTTAATGTTTACTTCAGTATCATAATTAAATTACACATTAGCATCTCAAGTATAAAAATTTATATTTTTCTCAGCAATACGGAATTTATTTAAACTAGTCTGACCGGACATCAACAATATGCAAGTAAAGCCTCAGACATGATAAAATTAATTTATTAATTCAAATAACAAAAGTAATTAAAGACTTTAAAAAAGGGTACAATACACTGTGTAATAAACAAGGAAAAAAGCATTTGCTCACATGCCGGAAAGAAGCTGCTGCATTCTTAGGTTATCACAGTTTTTTTTATCACCAGCTGTATTATTTTGTTAAAGAGGAGAAAGGAATGAATAATGCAAATAATAAGAACTGAAGCAAATGAAAATATTTCCAATAGTAAAGCGAAAAAAATATGCATTTGTTAAATTTCCAATTTTTTTTGTTTCTGGAACATTTTATACAAACTTACTTAGCAACTTTTTACTTGAAATGTGAACAATGTTAAAAAAAAGGGAAATTAAGATAAAGTCTATAGTAAGTAGCAAAATTAAGACTACACTTGAGAGAAAATAATTAAAAACTTTCAAAGATGGCATGGATAAGCAACATTATAAAACACAATGGAAAGAAAAAATTGTACAAAAAATACCATATTCTTCTGATAAATATTTCATACACTACATTTTGATAATCATAATTTTTTTTCAAGAGCAAGTAGTAATTATTTTTTAACATACATCCAACATTTTATGTAATGACTTGTCTTAGAAATTTTCTAAACATCTTTCTTTCCCTTGCATTTTGTGATAGTAACATTCTGTGTATTTAAAATAAGACAATTTAGTATCACAAATGATATATTTTTTTAAAATCATAATCTTTTAAATAAGAAATTTTACAGCGGCAAATATTGCCTTAATTAATCCAAATAATGATCTGCAAAAGAGTTAAAGACACTTGAACCTGTTTTAAATTTTCATAGATATTAACACAGGAAGTGAAGGAAATAAAGTTCAAACACATATTCAGCTCTAAGTAAAATTTAATAATCATACAACATACATTATAAAATCTCAATGAAATTTCAACAAATCTAAAAATATTCTTTCAGTTATATCACTTTTTTCATATAAAAAATATACTGAAATAATATAGCAATACTTATGTTAAAAGAACTTTGGCTCTTGATCAATAAGTGAGAAAACACTGCCAAAATGGTTAGAAAAATACTATAGCTTACCTTTGTTTTAAAATGTGCAAATATGATTAAAAAAGAACAAGATGTTAGAAATGATTGAAATGTATCTACAAATGGAAAAATTGTGCAAAGAAATAACTTAACAAGTTAACTTAGAAATATTTAAATTTAAATTTGGTTTTAAAAAAAAAGCTTATCCAACTATATTAGGATTTGTGTAACTAAATCCAAGGAATTGCTCCTGATCCATTGATTGAAGAATTGCAGAATCAACAGGACTTAGAGATGGAGAATTCATTGTAAAACTACGATCAAAGTTTCTTGTATCACTAGCAGAAATCTGAAATGTATAAATATATATTAGTTTGTTTCTAATAAATAAAAAAATAAACTTTCAAAAAATAAAATACATGCCAGCTAATATCAGATCAAATAATATTCTAAAGTTGTTCTGAAAATTTCATTAACAGACTGCTTAATTTTTTTTAAAAAGAATATAAACTATGCAACAAACAAAAAATACTTTTCTTAACTTTTATTTATTGCTTTTTATTTCCAAAATAATAAAAATTATAGTAATCAAGTAATAATTAATAGTTATACAGTATTGATCCAATTATCTGGAATCTTAAGAAGTTGATAACCTTACAAGTGTTTTCAGTCTTCTAGATAAATAGAAAATAGTAATCATTAATTTCGTACAATACTGATTTTTCTATGCTGGATAATAAATTTTAAAAAAAACAATAAAACACATTTCCTAATGTTAATTTTACTAAAAAAATTATTTAATTAAAATCCTAAAACTATTTAGATTCCCAAGCATGATCAAACAGGCACATTCCCACTTTTGAATTATCCGAAGGTTTCCATACATCCAACATACACTTCTTTACAAGTATAGTCTACAATCATATTAAAGAATTGACTTTGAAAGTTTTGGCGGATAAATATATTCCAAGATTGATATAGCAGAAGAAAAGAGAAAGGGACTGATAATGTTAGCTCTAAAAAGAAATTTTAAAAACTTTTTGATTCATGCAGGAATGCTGCAATCTCAAAACATCCTTCATTGTAAACATTTGATAACTATTTCAGTAAACAGTATAAAGTATTATAGAACAGTTAAAAGTATTATAGAATATGATTTTAATTTATTTTATTTCTATGGAATTAAAAATTACTCAAATGAACATTACTTGATTGTTTGAATAAAAAAGTGAAGCTTCCAAATCAAAAACACCATTAGAAAGCATCAAGTGCAGAATTTGCTGAATAGTGCTTTCCCTTCTGTTATGTTACACATTAGTAATTAATCAGAATTGAGCTTTAAAAACTAATTCATGAATTTTTTAGGGTGTAGACTTTATATCAATAATATCTGACAAATGCGGGAAACTGACAAATGTTAAGAAGTTGTGGGAGATTGAAACAATAATTCAACCAGTAACTACTTTAGATAATTCCAGTCTTGTGATACTGTTTAAGTCAAATTGTCTAATTACGGCTTATATTGTTAAGTAAACATTCTTGTGGAATTAATATTTCACATTCAAATAATATTTAAGTAAAAAAAGAAAATGAGGCTTCTAAATAAAATGCTATTCAAAAGCATCAAAAGTAGTATACATGTTAAATAGTGTTTTCCGCTCTTATGTTGTATAGTGTGCCAAAAAAAGGATCACATTGAATAACTTTTGATCTAATGATTGAATCATCACATTTTAGGACTCGTTCTTAATTATTCGAGGAGCACACTAGTTACATACAGAGATTTATGGATTGATTGATCTTGCAAAAATATATTCATTTAATTAAATGAAATTGTTGACAAGTATATCTTGCTATTTCAATGAAATTATTTTTTCTTTTGCAAAGATGATATCAGTTTAACTCTTGCAATTATACCTACCCATATCCTACTTCAGAAATTTTTATAAATAAAGGTAAATGCAATGTTAAGAAGAATTAATTTACATGAAGCTAGTGAGAGAAAACTTATCACAAACTTCTACTATGAGCAAGGTAATAAAAAAAAACAAAAGGTAACATCAAATTTTGCCGAGCTTGAACTAACACGACGGGAAAAAAAACAGTTCTATAATCGATTACAAACACAAAACTATCAACAAAAAGTTCACAATATTTACATGCTTTGAAGGCAATTTCATTAATTTTCTTGTCTTAAATCATACTAGTAATACTGTAACCCATCTAGAATGTTTAGATGAATATTTTTCATCAGCAAACCTAAGTTTACTTCCTAAATTTGGCTTAATGTCATAATGTAAAGGTTGTAAAGTAAACTTTAAATGTTCTTGAATGTGTTGTTTCAGCAGCTTTGGTTAAATGATAAAAAAAATTTTAAAACATTTATGCTATTCAAAATGTAACAGGAAGTAGCAGTAAGGATGCAAATTTTTTATTTTACACAGTATTTTTTTAAATACCTTTAGCAGTTAAAGTTTACTATAAAATAACAAATAATACTGTTGAAAACATTTTATAAATTAAACAAGTACTACTAAAATTATTTACGAAATTAATAAAAGTGCTTTAAAATGTTATTTGGTTTTCTAAATTTAAAAGCAATGATCAATAAGTCAAAGAATAATGAAAAGCTAAGAAAATATTTAAAATTTCTGATTGAACAAAACTAAATAACAAGATTAATTATATAAATAGTTTCAATAGTGCAAATTAAAAGAACATGCAAACTGGATATAAATAAAAAGTTCATCAAATATGATTAATGTCCTTTGATAAATATTATATTTTGAAATTCATAAAAAAATATTTAAGAAGTATTTTTCTTCTGTTTTTAAAGACACACGTTCTTGTTCCATAACCACTGTCATTCACAACATGCCAATGCATACAAATAAGTATTAAATGTGTATGCTTTTTAATTAGTAAATTGTTTTTTATCCACTAACTTAAAAAAGTGTTATAAGATGACAGTTAAACAAAATTTGCAACTGGTAATAATTGATATAATACTCAATTTAAAATAGATTGCTTTAATATTTTAACAGTTTGTTCATAAAAATATGTTAAATGATTTGCTACACTTCAAAAAATTGAATCCTTTAACTTATACAGGAAACAAAGTACAGAGGAAAAACATACTTAGAAATTGCATGAGAGCCATAGGGTCTAAGCAGTAAACTAAAAGCTTCAGTTTTGTTCCTACTTGTCAAATTGAATTACTTTGCTTATAAAAAATGTAACATGTAGTAGAACCTAACACACAATTAAAATTTTGAGTTTTTAAAATAATATATGTTTTATTTGTTCTCTCAGTCACAAAGCCCAGCTCTATAACTTATTCTCTTTCAGGCACTTTATCTAACAGGGAATTTTCTCGCAGCTCCATGAACCAAAAGAAGCTATACTGAAAATTGTCTAACATTAAAGCATAATCAATAAAATAAAATAAATCAATAAAACTTTTAGTTTAGTATATGAGCCATATTTTAAGAACAATTGTGTAATTTTACAAATAATAAAGAAGATGCCTATTTAAAACAATGAACACTGTAATAAATATAACAAAACAAATATTTCAAGATAACTTACAACAGTTGGTTTAAAAGGGGGTGGTACTTCTTTCTTCTCAAGTTTATTCCAATCAATGGAAATAAAGAAAGGATGTTCTTTAATTTCCCCATACGGACTAGAGGGCATACCCAATCTATCACTGACTGATTTTGTCAAAAGCTAAAAAGCAAAAGTGATTTAAATAAAAGAGAAAAAATAAACTTGAAAATTGCAGCAGATTCATAAGTAAAATGACAAAATAAAGAAAGAAAATAACCTTCTGTAGAATATCTTTTGCTTGCTTTGATATAAAATGTGGATAAGATGGTTCCTCATTGCAGATACTCCAGAAAAGTTCATCTTCATCTGTACCAACAAATGGAGATCTACCAAGAATCATTTCAAATAACAGTACACCAAAAGACCACCAATCAACAGATTGATTGTATCTTTGTCCCAGAATAATCTATAAAAAGTAATATTAGAGGAGTTAGTATAATAAAACAGTTTCCTCTCAACCCACAAATATCAGATTTTAATTTGAATAGAAACCAAGTTATCATAAGTATAAATTAAATTTTTAATGCATATTACATCCAGAACTTGCAAATATATTTATGTACGTCCTTAAAGCTCATCAGATCTAAGGATATAAAAATATTCTATGACGAATTTTCAAGCATGTTTGCAAAAAGTTGTGGAATAATTCACACATACTTAAAAATAATTATCTGCAAATTTTTTTAATTAATCATTTAAATAAAAATCAATACACTTCTTATAAAGCATTTCAACTGGGCCCTTGGCTGACCTGGTCCCTAGGACAATTGTCCTCATCTTTTCTCCTTTGAGCAAGGCCCTGGTGATAAAAATTCATAACTATCTCTCACACTCGCTAAGTGTTGTAACAATACAATAAAAAGATTATAAAACTACGCATATTTTATTTACAAGATACTTATAAGATGATATTATAGAGAATTATAATAGATATTATAAAAAAAAGCAACTGCCTATTTCACCCTTGTTAAGGCATATACAGGGTGTTCTGCAGTTTAAATAATATTTTGAGAGTCTTTGTCGAAATTCAACTGACACTGTGGTCGTAAATAAATAGATAATCTCTGTAAAAAAGAAAAACTTTATCATATGTGACATATCCTAAACGAGAAAGGAAAGATTAAAAACACTTTCTTGATCGCCTTAGAAATTAAGAGGTGAGGATTATTAATAACAACTTTATTTTTTTCCCAGACAGAGGAGTTGGTTTTGATATTTTTAATATAGCTTTCTATAATATTAATCCTAATTTCTATAATCTGATTATGCCGCTGTGTTTTCCTTCAATATTTTAAGACCTTCAATTTGTATATTTTCTGACTTCATTTTTGATAAGAATTCTAAAAAAAAGATATTAAGGATAGTGATTGTTGAACGCTTGATATGTTAAATAATTCAAAGGAGTGGTCAAGATATTTTTGATTACACCAAGTATTAGAATGCAAGAGTTCTTTTAACTCAAGATCATTTGTTAGAGCATTAGCTATATCAGAATAATTTAAATAATCTTGAGTAAAACGATTCTGAATACAAGAAAATGCATCGGCCACAATATTTTCAGAGCCACCGATGTGGTGAATGTTAGTTGAAAATTGGGCTATAAAATTTGTTGATTAATTTGTCTAGGAGACAGCTTATCAAATTTTCAAGTAAAAGTATGAGCTAGAGGCTTGTGATATATAAAAATTATAAAATCTTTCCCCTCTAAGTTTCGCCTTTTAGATGAAATATTAAGAACAAATAAGCATTTTTTTTATTACGAGACTTGTTTGAATTAGCTATTTCAGAAGATTCTTTTTAATTTATAAATCCTAAATCAAGATTGCTATTTTGAGTTGTTTTTTTAAAAATTTTACAGTATATTCATTTTTGTAGTAATGTCTTGCAATGTAAAATTATCCTTCTCAGAAAACTATTCCTCAGTGAAATTGATAATTTATGAATTTTTGTTCATTGAAAACAATATATTATTAAATGATTTTTTCTCCAATAAATTTTAACAAATTATATCTTTTTAACTCCTAATTGTTAGCTTTGAGGTTCTTTGAACTTTAAGTTGTTAATTTCCGTCTCATTAAAAAGTTTTTTTTTTGTTTGATATATGTAGTAACTGCATGCAAATTCTGAGCAAAAAATATTACATAAATAGCGAATTCCTAAATTTTTCAGTTAAATCTTAAGAAATTATTCATACTAGAAACATATTTTAGCACTTAGTGATTAGATTAAAGAACAGGGAAAATTCCCTTAAAATATTATTTTTTTCCTTTTCATGGCTAAAAATATAGAACAGAATGAGCATAACAAAACTGATAAAATTTAATTTAATTATTTGACATATAATATTGTTACATTGCCGACTAATATTTTATGATTTGAATGTGTGAGATTACTAATGCAACTAATACAGGATGACAACAAATAATGGTCTGAAATATTTGTAAATTTATTTTCCTTAATCTATAAAAATTTAACTAAACAACAATGCTAACAGCTTGGACCTTTACTAAAACCATATTAAAAATGTTTCAAAGTGGCTGAACGTGTCTTGAAAATTTTCAGAAATAGGCTGCAGGTCTTCCGGAAACAATCAGTCTTATTTTCCTTGTCAAAACTCTCCTGGGGTCTAGCAGACATGCTGAAGTGTGTGGGATTGAGATAGAGTGTGAAGGGTGCTCATTCAGTGGATGTGATGAAATCTTGAAAATTGTCTTCATACCACTTTTGTATCATTTTTGCCTTGTGAGCCAGAGGAGTATTGTATTTAAATATCTAACTCGCACTTAACTTGAGGATTTCAAGTACGTACACTTCTTGGTGGATTTTGATCCTTTGATTTAAAAAAATGAGGAATGTCTTGTCATTGGTGCGAATTTTGCACCAAGCCATGAAAAGGTTACAATGATCAAGGATGGCAAAGGTATTGGAAGGTTCATCAAATCAGAATATGTGGTTTGGGGCCTGCTCCACAGTTAAAATCTTCTCATCTGTCAAGAGAGTCTGATCTCATTGATGACCTGAGGCCCAATTCTTGAATTGAAGGCATCTATGGAGTTGCAAAGCTTGAGGTTGGCCTCCCTCTCTACACTGATTTATGACTAGTTCTAGTCTCATGCCCGATTTATCTGCTCAGAGACACTCAAATTCAATTCTATTCACTTTTTGAAGATCTTGCAGTTCCTTCACCAATTGCCAGCTATCATATTATTCGAAAGAGTAAATGAAAATTCCCCAAATATCATTGTGGGTGAAATAAAATCCCTTAAAATAAGTGGCAGAGTGGGAACAAAGCTGCTCCTTATTTTCATCCAATCTATCACTTGCTAATGACTGCTTATAAAGAAAAAAATAATAACCATTATGATAGGAGTACTTCATTATTTTTCTGTTGTTGATGAAATAAACATTTTTTTCACTGCACGAAAATTTTTTTCTCAATATTTTTATTACTTCAGATTTTTACATTTAGGGCACGTTCCAATATTCACAGTGGTTACACTAGTTTCCCTCACCTATCATTCCCATATTAAAACTTTTTACACCAGTCTTCCCTTTATTCAAACTTGTGTCACCAGTTATGCATGAAGTACACCAGGTTTCTATGCAGTTTGTGTGACATCATTACCTTTATTTGTTTAAAAGCTGCATTTTTCTTTGGTAGAGATAGACAGCATTTTACTGTATTTTGAATAGATTTTACTATAAATTTATAGTAAAAACTTCTTTTACCATCCAAAATAAACTTTCTTGTATTAAATATAAGTCTAATAATTAATATAGAATATGGATTGTGTAGATGAATATGCTCTTATGTTGATGCTGTACATTGCAATGGATACTATTATTAAACATTATTTATTTCTGATAATGGTTTAAATCTATATTTGTTTTCAAGATTAGGATTTCATCCAAAATTCAGTTCATGTGGTAATTAGCTTTACTTGATAGATTCACATCAAAAGAATTTGGGCTTGTGATTTAGTTCAATAAACATATTTTGTTACAATAAAATTTTGATAAATCAAACAATTATCCAGATCTTTATTCTCAGATTTGTGATAGAGTTTCCCATATTAGTGAGAGAATTTCAGCATTAGTCGTAGTATTTTAGCTTCATATGCAAATGCTCATAATTATGTATTGTTTTTGTAAAAATTTCACTTAAACATTTTCCTCTAATGTATATTATTTTCAATATTAACAAAGCTAATCATCATTTGATAGCTAAATAAATTTCATCAGTGTTTTAAATTTGTTTCTTATATCCTGGACAACAATCCTATAACAGATCTGGAACCATGAATATTGTCTTAGATTAATAACAAATGATACTAGTTTATATCGTGTTAGTTTTAATATGAGTTTGGATTTCAAATTTAAATCATACTGATCAAGCCATTGACTGATCTGTGTTGTTAAAACTAGGCTTTCAATATCTTGACGTTAGGTTGATATTTGAAATTCTTTAGTATTAAATCATTTCTGACAACCACAACACAGTGATGATATGGATCTGTCCTGATCTGAAGCCCCTTTACAGATTAATAACAGATATTATATAAAATTTTAATTTGTGTGAAAGGATTTTAAATACAACCCCATGGTTAAGGCCATTGACTGGCCTGTGTTAGTACAACAAGGCTTTCAATGCCTGGAGCTTTAAGGTTAATATTTAAATTCCTTTCCCAAAATTTAACTAAAATAAATTTCGAACATCACACTACAATAAACATTCTAGGGTTATATTATAACATAATATTTCAACAATATGAACATTTTACATTCTATTTGTAAATTTCTATTTACTTTCCTTATTATTTCCTTACTTTTTTGTCTCAATGTTTCTACTTCTTGATTATTATTTTTTAATGCAAGGTATTCTTTACATCCACATGTTATGTGAATATTTATTTTTCATATCACTAACTTGAGGCCTTTTGAAATACTTATCAATGACTATTGCTATAGCACAAAAAGTGATATTGTTCATTTTAGAATTATACTACTAAATTTAACTTTCCGTACAGATTTTAAATAAAAACCTAAATAAGTGGGCTATTGACTAACCTGTGTCATCGTAAACTATCAGGTTAATATCTGAACTCATTTTAAAAATTTGAATTAAAACATTTCTGACAATTACAACTTAGTAAATATGATAGGGAGATTTAACTGATTATTTATGTGAGATATCGTCGCACATCCCATTATTTTACATCATTACAAATTACAGTTAAGTTTATGTTTAAGCTTGAGGTTATGTTTAAGCTAAGTTATGTTTAGTTAAGTTTAAATTTAAGCTTGATAGCAAAGGCTGCAGTCAATATTGTAATTTATAATAAAACTAATTTTAGTTAAAGTATTTATGACCAACATAGCATATTTATGATTGCAACAATGTTGGCAGATTTCAATATATATTGGTGAACTTCTTATTTTAGGTTTATTCTTGGATGTAAACAAATAAAAATGTGATAAACTTTATCCATAGTTTACCTCTTGTTTTGCTGCAAAAATTTTAATTAAAGTTTGTTAATTACTTTCCAAAAAAATAATCGAAAATGCTTGAAAGATTCAGGCCCCATTTTCTGTATGTTGATAATGATATTTCATTAACTTCCTTAAATTCAAGTGCATGCAATGGCAATAATACTCTATTATCTTATTAAGTATGTTTAAAAAAAGTACTTATCTTGTGTAATGAGGGGACAGTAAATTTCCTTTCTTGTGGCAGCAAATATTTAAGACTGCCCTTTCATCAGTGATTATTTCCTATTGATAGTTTATTTAAGTGTTTCTATTTTTTAATGTAATTAATGTAATTTTTGGTAAATTTGAAATAAATATAGCAAATTTATAAACTAACAACTAAATAAAATAACTCAAATCATATAAAATTATAACTGCAATCTTTTTTAAACGAGTCCTGCTGATTTGAATGGATTTTTGGTTTGTTTATTTAATGCAAATTTAAGGTGATTCTTCTACAGTAGACATAAACAATATATGATTTAATATTATTTCATTCTTAGAAGTATATAAAGATTTTTTTCTTGTAAAAAAATAAATAAAATTATGATACCAGTATATTTCGAAATAAAACAATAAATATTATACTGAGTAAATCTTTATTTTACTCTTTGATTTTGTTAAATATTTAAATATTAAACTTACTGGGATTGTGTATATATTTTAAAACAAAAATTTTTCAATTTGGAAAAATGTACAAAAACTATTATTGATATAAAATTAAGAAAAAAATAAGATTTTTTGAAAAGATTTTGCAAAAGACTCAATTGTTATTTTTTTCCCCTTTAACTTTAAATTTTGAACTTTGAATTAAAGAGAATCGAAAATAAACTAAAGGCTTATTAGTACTTCCTACATTCTATATTTTTTATTGCTCATATATGAGAGAAATTTTACTTTTAATAAACTAGATTTAAAAACTATATAAGAAAAACAAACTAATCATAAAGCATGCACAGAATTTTTTGCTTATAAAAAAGTCTAGAAATTCATTAACAAGCAATGAAAAAATAGAACACCCAAAAAATATATATACTACAAAAAAAAAGAATACTCAAATAATAAATGTAATCATGAATATATTTTTCGTAAAGATTATAAAAGAGGAGAGCGTATGCTTTTGGTTGCTAATGGCAACTAGAACCCAAACTAACCGCACTGATTGTTCCTAATTACTGTGCAAACTTAGAGTAACTGAGGTCATGCGACTAGTTCACTTCAGTGTCACCAGTGTGAATATAGGAAAGCGACCTGAGTTATAAAAAATATGCATCAATTTATTGCTTAAATTTACTGTGTTAAGAAAGTTTTAGAAATAACACCATTTCTAAGAGCAGGATTCAAGATTCCCAAAATGTCCAACAGTATTTAAGAAAATTTTCAGCTTTAAAAGTAGGAATATATAGCGCTTAACATATTAAAGACTTGCATCTGTTCTAAAACTGAAATTTTATTAAGCCATTTTTAACACAACATAGTATCACTACCGTATATTCCGGCGCATAACGCGCCCCAGCGTATAATGCGCACCCATAATTTCTAATAACTTTTTTTAAATTTTAAGATATACTCTTTGTATAACGCGCACGAAAATTTGGATTGTACATGTGCAATACTTCGTCTAGTATCAATAGATAACCAGAAAGCCTTTTAGTGTGGGACATGTTTAGGTCCCACCTTGCAGATAATACAAAAAAATTGTTGAAAGAATAACACCGATATGGCAGTTATTCCGGGCGGAATGACACTATTAGTTCAGCCATTGGACGTATGCTTAAACAAACCATTTAAAGCCAATTTAAACAAACAGTGGAACACTTGGATGTTGGAGGGCGAGAAAACCTTTACGAAAGGAGGACATATGCGTCATGCAAGTTTGGAAACAGTGTGAGAATGGATATTAAAAGCATGGGATGAAATTAAGCCTGAGATGGTCAGAAAATCATTCACAAAATGCAGTATTTCAAATAATCTGGTCGGATCAGAAGATGGCTGTTTACTTATGGATGAGGGTAACACAGATGATGAAGACGAAACAGATTGTGATGACGTGCCTGAAGAAATAACGGAAGACGAATATAATGAACTATTTATGTAATAACGAAAATCAATAAAGTATATAGGTGAAGGTATGTTATTTCATCAAAATAAAAGTATTTTTCTATAGTATTTAAATTTTTTTAATCTATAATTTTTTATATTCGGCGTATACCGCGCACCCGTAAATTCCAATGTTATTTTTTGTATTAAAAGTGCGCCGGAAAAATTATTAAATACGCCGGAATATACGGTACTTGAAAATGAGCAAAAGTTTTTAGAACAAAATAATTAAGTATTTTGTTCTACAAATTTTTGCTAAATAATTTGGTATTAGTTAGAAATTTTTTAAAATACACTAGACAACACAAAGTTATGTATCATGGAACAGGGTTCCTACTCAATTTTAGAAAAATTCCATTACTTTTCCAGGCATATCAGGTAAATTTCAATGGAAATCCAAACCAAATTTTATCTATAACATGCAATTTTTCATCAGAAAACTTTTGTTTCATTTGTAAGGTCGAATCTTAGATTTTGTGAGCAAAAACATATAATAGAACGAGAATGGAAACATGGGAATTTTCACTAATAAGTGGAATTTTATAAAAAAAATTTTGTATTTTATAAAATAACAATAGATGTTAGAATTATTGAACTCTAATCTTGATAACTGATTACTGCTACTGATAATTGCAAGACTGGTTATTTTCCAGGTATAATAAAGGAATTTTCCTGGTATAATAAAGGAATTTTCCAGGTATTTTGTAAAAATTCGCAGCTTTTCTTGACTATTTCCCGCTTTTTAGAATTAAAATAAAATTCCCTTACAAATCCAAGTTTTCTTTGTTCTCACTGACCCGTGGAAGCCATGTGGAAATAATCAGCCCTCTCGCCATCAGGAATAAAAACAGGTCTGCTTTTAATTTTAATGACAATGCCAGCTTTCAACAGCTTGATGGTAGGAGATCTGTTTATTTTGAAACACATAGCATTTTATTATCTCGTTAAGATGCAGTTATGATAAATATTTACAAGAACAAAATTTGTTAATTTTCCATACAATGATAACTAGCAAAGAAAGGAATAAAACAATCTACTAAACATTTAATATGAACTAAGAGTTATTATCACCCACCTCTGGTGGAATATAATCAGGGGTTCCACAAAAAGTAGAAGTTTTAGCATATGGATCAAGCATTTCAGATTTGCACATGCCAAAATCAACAAGATGAACATGGCCGGTCTTGTCAAATAAAATATTGTCTAATTTGATATCTCTAAAAGCATGCAAATTTAAAATATTAGCACATAAAAAAAACATTAAGTGCAAATCATTCAAAAAGATAGAAACAAATTTACAAACTAAGAACAAAACAGACTAAAAGCTATAAATAAGATATTTTGGTTGAATTTTTAATAGAGTATTATTTATTTTATATTATAATGTCTGTTGAACAATCGTCTCAATTCTAAGCTTACGATTATCAGTGTTCAACTCTGTAGCCTTATGATTTTGAACCAACGCCAAAACACAAGGGAACTTTTGGATTAAGTATTGGGAGAAATTTGTCTTCTTAGAGGTCTTCTTGATGGAATTATTCTGCATTTGCATTACATGGAGAGGAAAACCGCCAACCATCACTGGGATTCGAAACTGGGACACCTCATTGAAAAACGAGTGCTCTATTCCCCGAGCCACCATGGCTAAAATACAGTTTTTTTTGCCGTATGCCTGTTAAGGCAGTGGGGGTGCGATTGTTCCTGTTTTTCAGTGACGCCATCTATGGCCAGGAATTCGACTTCTGCCACGCCATTCACACAACCACAACCGGTTTATAGGGCGGGTCACATTCACACACAAAGGAGAAAGGACATAAACACACACAGAGAGAAAGAAACATCCATGCCTTGCCCGGGATTCAAACCCAGGACCTTTCTGATGCAAGGACAGTTCCCTGCCCCCTACACAGGCTGGTCCGCCTTAAATACAGTGTTAGTGTTAATAAAACATAATTGACGAATATCTTTGATAACTACAGTTTATGTTATCAAATTGAGGTTCTAAAAACCTTGGCCCTGAATGAATATAAATTCTATAGAAAAAAAATATAAATGAAAGTAAAGTTTCAAACCCTTGTATGCAATGCTAAAAACCAAATGTTTAATATTAGACATGCGAGTTGTGGTGGCTTAGGGATAGTGTTCAAGGTGATAGGGATAGTGCTAATGAGGTGAATTGGGTTTGAATCCCAACGATGGCTGGCCAAATGAATTCCGCATCTGGCTCGCACCAACCACAGTACTGATGTAAAATATCCTCAGTGGTATACAGATTTTCAGTTAGAGTTCCCTTGCCATCAGGCTAATCATGGGAGGTTTTCCTCTCCATGTAACACAAATGCATGTTAGTTCCATCAAAGAGTCTTCTACGAAGGCAAATTTCTCCCAATACATGATCCAGGAGTTCCCTCTTCTGGATTGGGTTCAAAATTAGAAGGCTATGAAGTTGAACAATGGTAGTCATAAGCCCAAAAATTGGGTCTGCTGTTCAGCCACAGTTATAGAATAAAATATTAGACATGCATTAAAGAAGAAAAAAAATCAGTGCATCATATTTTAAGCATAATAAATAACATGCAGTTGTAAATATAGATTTTTCTGTTTGTGACTTCAATGACAAGAGCAATTTTTTCTGCACAATTAGCAAGAAAATATAAATAAGCTCAAACTGCAAATAAAGTTAGGAACACTTCTGACACTACATAATCAGAGTATACACAAAATCAGCAAGAAACATTTCCCCAGTTAACTCATGCTGAAAACTTATTTATTATGCATACTTCTGGAGCTACATAATTTGGTGTTCCACAGAAATTGCAAGTCATTCGCTCTTCATTATAAATTTGACACTGACACATTCCAAAATCAACTAGATGAATATGTCCCTCTTGATCCAACATTACATTGTCCAACTTGATATCTCTGAAAGCAAATTAGTTTTCTGCACTTTTCAGTCAAAAGAAAAAAAAGCCTTTAATGGGCAGATTTTTTTTTTAGAAATTCAAATCTTAGATAAACAAGCTTAAACATTTATAAGCATCTTATCAATAAGGTAAAAGCTTAAAAACAGTGATCCTGCCTGGCTTTAAAAACTTAAGTCCTTAGGACTCAAGGCTTCTCAATTTCTAGGTCCTTTTTTTATTAAATGAGTGTCCCCATTTAAAATAATACAAATCTCTACTTTAATGATAGACATAAAAAATAAATATTTTATGATGAGGAAAAATTTGATTAATAATTAATTCAATAATAGTTCCATAAAGAACTAAAACCAGAATTTCTGTTGTCTTAAAAAAATGAAGAGTTTTTAAGACTAGAAATTTTTCTTTTCTTACTAATATTGACACATAATGCCGATTTGCTCATTTAAAATAACGCTTCACTAAGGGTAGGAGGAAACAAGTATCACTGAAAACTGAATATTACGTTTTTATTTACGTGTAAAAGAGTTTTAAAATGAGCAAATAACATAAGACAGCTTTAGCATAACTTAATGATTAACAAGAAATAATATGAAACAATTTTGTTCCAGTCTGGAAATATAATGGAATAGATTATTGTAACTAACTTAAGTTGCCATTTATTTTTGCTGGAAAATACCATTAATAAAATACTATATGAAATGAAAATTCAAAATTTGATTGTAGCAATTGTGCCACCGGTTAAATTTTGAGTGAACTTATCTTATTAAGTCAATGGGAAAGAAATAAGATTGTGTTATTTTTTCCTTCTTTGACTTATTTTATTTAACTTTATATATTTTAGTGACAGCGCTTTGAACTGATATCATCAAAGTAGTTTTAAATTTGTCATCACATATTCTGCTCTTTGCATGAATACTAATCTTTTAAATTTATATTTTTATCCAGTAGCAGAAACTTCTATTGATCTGTAACACCATGGGGAGAACACAATACCAAAACAAGTTTAAAACAAAACAGAGGGAAAAAAAACTATTCAGTCAGTACTTTTTCATTACAAAAAAAAAAAAAATGTATGGAATAGCTTGAAATTTGTTGCTTGAAAGAAATTCCTCTGAAATAATTTTTTATAACAGTAAAAAATAAAGAAATAAAAATTTTAAATAAAGACAAATATGCAAGAAATAACGCTTTCCACTATTAAACAATAAATTTAAGATTAATGAAATATTATTTTCATTGTTTTGTTTAGGAGACATCATACTTGCATTATCTATTACGGCCGATTAAGGGAATGCTTTATTTAAATTTTCTAAGTATTAGTTATAGTTTCTTTTAGTAGTATGTCATAAGTGGAACCAAATTTGCCTACTTTTATTCAGTTGAATATCCACTATTTTATAAAACCATTAAATCAAAAAAAAAACTAAATTTTTTTTGATTTAATGGTTTTAATAGTTAAAAAAAAATTAAATTTTTTTTTTACAAAAACATTCAAAACCTATTCAAAAACCTCACTTTTCTTTGCCAATTTTCTAATTCCTTTCTTCTTAAAACACAATCTATTTATGATAGACTGATAAGCTTTGGTTGCTTCTATCTCTTAATACTAGGAATCAGTACAGACGATTTATGAAAATTGATTCAAAGCTTTTTTAGCTTGAGTAATACACAAAAACTAGAAAGTTTGTTTTGAAACCAATAGTTAAGCAATAACTACAAAACAGTTAAGCAATAACTATACTTTTTCTGAAAAACTTTTTTTTAATCTGACATTTAATTACCATTGATTAAATATCACAGTGAAATAATTCTTAGAAATTGCTACCCTAACTGCAAAGTAACAAAGATTTTTTCATTTAGTTTATATAGTAAAATAAGATCTGAAAATTTTAATGTGCCTATTTTCTGTTTGAAAATATTTAAAGCAATACTCCTCATTTGAAATTTAATTATTAAGATATGTATTATTGATTACTCCTTGCTAAAAGAAAAAAACAATTTTAATTTAGAAAATAATTGAGGTGAAAAATGCTGACTATTATTATTTGCATCTTACGAAGTTTATGACTCATAAACTCATGGTTTTTCTTTCTTTTTTTTCAAGCCATACTTTGTCTGAATAAAACAAAACATTGGATTATTTGTGATTTCCTTTTGCATAAATTTTTAGACATTAATATTCCAATTTGTTACATTTAAAGTGATTTCTTATTAGTTCTGTTTACTACACATATTATTTAGTAGCTATAAGTGTAATTAAATTAATATTTATTATTAATTTAGCATTTTTTATTAATCTTGAAAATAATTTAGAACTAATTTTGTATTAATTTACTTGTTTATTATGTTTTTGAATTAGTTCAATACAAGGTTGGGTTTTTGGTGTCAAAAACTGGTTTTTGACATGACACATCAAAAATAGTCATAAGCTGTCCAGGGTGCATAGCAAAATCCTTTAACAAAAATAACCACTTTTTGCATACTTTTTAAGCACTAAAAAATATTTTTAAGCACTATATACATTAACAAAATAATTTTCAAAGACTTTACATGACCATGATAAACAAACTAAATCACTTATCCAGGCTTTAAAATAAATTATGGTGATAAAGAGATAATTTGGTAGCAATTATTAGGAGTTGGTGAGCAGTGGAGAACAAAGGGAGCACTTAGCGAATGAAATATTTTTGAATTAAATCACAAATTGAGAAGACAAACAATGCATGAAAGTAAAAGATATTTGAATATAAAATGTATGTGTCACACTCTATTGTGCTTTAAATGTTGTTTGTATTTGATTTTAAATCATTTTGGTCTGATAAAACATTTAAAAAGTATGCAATTTGATCACCATTTTTCCCCCACAGGAATTTAATATTTAAAGAAATGCATGTCAACACAGAAATATTATCATCAGCACAAATTTAAAAAATAGATTATTTTGAAATATGAGAGAAAATACTCAAAACATGACGGATAACATTAAATGAGAATGAAAATATTTATAACATTACCTGTAAACTATTCCTCTCTTGTGAAGAAATTTCAATGCACTGACAATTTCAGCTCCATAGAACCTTTAAAAAAAAAAGTTTTTGTTAATATTGTTTTTATCATTAACTAATTCATTAATAGTAGATAACTAATTCTAGGATGCACATTAATAAATTTGAACAATCTCGTGGCTTTCAGTACCGTAGCTCTTAGAGTTTTTAAATTATAATAAAAGAATTTTTAGTTTTCATGAAATTCATTTGAAAAATGTATTTCAAGTTGTTTAAAATACAATTTATTTGAATCATTCATTCATTTTTATATTCATATTTATACTTAAATAAGCCCAGTAATATTTCCTCCAAATAGCTAAGATCAACTACTTGAAAATATCATTTACTTTTTTCCTTTTCTACCATTACATCATAATAATTTTCATTTAAGTTTTTGGAAGCTTAATCAGTATGTTAAGGCAATAAAAATTGTAAGAATATTTTAAAATTTTCTTCACAGCAGAATCTTTACAAAGCAAGCAAGTTATTCCTGATCTCCAGAAACAAAGTTAAACAATGGAAAAAGTGTATGTTAATTTTATATTTATTAAAAAATTAGAAGAACTCATTGATAAAACATCTAATAAGTCATTATATATTATATTCTATTGTCAATGTATAATCCTCATGGTTTTATTCTGATTGCTTTGACAGTAATTCTACGAATTGCCACATGGTTTAAAAATCTAGGTAACTTCAATACAACATTATGACACATAATTTTAGGTGGAAACATTGAATAAATTTTTTTAATGCTCTCATTTTGCACTAATTAAATTGTAAATTCATGAGGTCTTGCTGTTCAGTTTTTTGTCTGTTATCATCAGGGGTCTGTCCAGGCCGAATTTACTACCGTTTAGCGGTACCTTCACAGATTCAACTTTAGGAAAAACGGTAGTTTCACAAATTCAATTTTAGGAAAAACGGTAGTTTCACAAAATACTTTTTCTTAAAATTTTATTTTTGTATCCCTTAAGAAACGATAAATCCATATTTTTGTGTTGATTTTTTAATATAATTTTTAATTTTTCACAAATTATGTCTAAATTTTCACAAAATAGGTACCTCTTAGAAAAACCTAGACAGACCCCTGATCATGATATAGTTTTTCAAGGTTTCTAAAAACACTATATTTTTACTACAACATTTTAACGGGCAAATTTCAAATCAAACACTCAAATAATCGCTTACTGACAAGCTCGATTTCATCATAGTTTCTCATTACTTATCAACTGTTCTCGCAGCATTTCAATGGATTTCCACACAGTTTTTAAAATCTCGATATTTTTAACATTAATATCATTACAACAAGTGAGTTTTGAATCAAGTGGAGCAATTAAATTTTATTCCTTTTATGCAAATTTCATTGTTAATTCACATGGCTTTATCAATCACTTATTTATTTAGATTATATTACAAAAGTGCCATGTTTTTGTAAGTACTAAGAAACTTCTTAAAACAGATAAAAATAATTTTGTGATAGTTTTCGAAAAGTTAGTACTTACATAGCTCTAGATTCTTCAAACTGACCATTTTGAATATGAAACATAAGGTCACCTCCATTTAAATATTCCATAACAAAGAAGAGATAACTCTGTGCGACATAAAAAAAGTTATGGTTGAATTACAATTGCGAACAGGTCTACAAAATGCTTAAAATTATTTAAAAACAAGAATAATATTTTAATCTTACGTCAGTCTGAAAAGTACAATATAATTTGCACAAATAAGGATGTTGTGTGCCAAGGGCTAAAACTCTTCTTTCAATCATAGCACTTTCTACATCATCATCTTCAAGTACAGTATCTTTTCTCAAACATTTAACGGCAAAAAACATGTCATGATCTTTCAGTTCAGCCAGTAACACCTAACAAAACAATAAAAAATATCTAATTTTTAAACATCCTATAAGACTCTAAACATTACATTTTATTGATAGTTTAATAAAAAAAAATATTTCTTTTAGCTACACTAATTAAATAACTAAATTTATATATAATACTTTATAATTATATAGCTATTGAAATAATTAATCATAGTCTATGATAATATATTAGGCTGCATTATTATTAGGGCTGCAGGTCTGTTGGGGTGCGGAATACTGTTAATTTGTCTTTTTTCCCCTAAAATGTGCAAATTTCTCAATACGTTTTGATTTGCACAAAAATTGCTCAAAATTTTAATTTTTGAACTTATTATTTTTATTTAAGAGAATTTTTAACTTTCCTGAAGCCTAAAATTGAACATGTAAAATTGATTAGACATTTAGGGGAGTGAATCAATAGCAAAAGGACAAGAAAATAGTTCAGAGATAATACCAATCTTGTCAAGTAAGGTGGTCTTTCTACACTTAAGAAGGGTGATAGATTGATTAGGATTACTTTCCTGTAGTCCATAAGAATACTAAAGAAATTGGAATCACAAAAGGAAAATTTTACAAATAAAATCTTTGACATAAAAATTGTTACACAGGCTATTGCACTGAGTAATGAAATTTCTACTGCCTTTGTACATATCCAGGCAATTTTTCCTGGGCAGTTTCTTGTGATTTCTTAAATAGGGGTAAGATTTTTAGATGAGAGGGAGATAAGGCTTTTGTAATTAGTAGTTTGAATGTAGAATGTTTAAGTTTTCCAAACACAGTAGGGAGGGGGTTCATTGGCATTTTGTAAACCAGGCCTTTGTGTTTAGAAACAGATGACTTTGTCACAAAAGGAATATTTGGTACCTTTCTCATTCATTGGTCTGATAGCAGGAAAGTTAGAAAGAAGGTTTTATAGGATAAAATTAGTTTATATTTTTAAAGCTAGTCCCATTTTTTCCCAAACCCTGCTGATAAGTTTGTTAGTTAAAAATATGAGCCATATGAGTATAGCAACTGCTTTTGAGTGATGTTAACAGTTCAAAAAAGGAACTTTTGAAGTTAGAAAAATCCTTTTATTTTGTAGCACATGCAATGTTCCTGTTGATTTCTCAAGAAAAAATATTTGCGATAAACACTTGAAAAGTAAAATTCACTAAAAGAAGATTGCTGGTGAACAGAGAGTAATTCAAGCAAGTATTACTTCCTTGTTTGAAAAAAAATCTTCAAGACCAACATCACACTGTGGAGATTTCTAAATTGGTTGGTGTTTTGCAGCAGCAAATATTCCATTGCATAAACTTGATAATCCGGCATTGAAAAGTTATTTGACAATTCACTCAAAGACATAGGTACTAAGCTCCAGTCACCTACGAAGCCACTATCTACCTAAGACTCAGGAATTTCGCAAAAGTCAAGTTGTAGATGTTCTAACATCTACCACTGGTGTTAGCACTGTCACAGATGAAACAACAGACTCTAAAGACTTATATTCTAAACATGTTAGCTGTTCCATTAGTAGAAATACAAAACAACGATTTGAACCTTTCTTTTCATTTTTTCTTGAAAGTATTGCACTAGAAAGTGTAAATTTCAAAGTTATTAGCAATACAATTATTCAGTGTTGCCAAAGCTAAAAACTTTGCTTTAAAGGTATAACATCTTTCGTAACGGACAACGCACCTTATATAAACAAAGCCTGGGGAAAAAGCTTTTTTTTTAAAATTCTGTTCATGTTATTTGTAATGCTCATCTTTTAAATCTCTTGGGAGAAATATAGCAAAATGAGTTTAAAAATGTAAATTACTTTGTAGTTCATATCAAGCGTGCAATTACAGTGTGTTCTTCACTTATAGGTTGCTTTTGAGCATTTTTGGAAGAAAAGGGTAAAAAAGCTGTTTTACGACCCGTTCCTGTGCAAACTAGATGCAAGAGCTGGTTTGAAGCTTATTTATTCCATGTAAATTATTTGGATATGTACACTGAGTTTTTTGATAAGGAGAAAGAAAATAGAAGCAGCTCAGTTTTAAGCACAATTTGTGAAGAATGTCAAGATTCAGGTTTGAATACAGATTTAAAAGAAATTGAAAAATATGCACCATTAATTTTGAATCAATTGATTTTATTTGAAAAACAAAGAACTAATTCACATAATATTTACAATGAAATATCTGATTTCTCAAAGGTATTGGAAAGCAAATTAAAATGATGCTGTGAGCACTTAAAACCAAAAAATGCTCTAGTAAAAAAAAATTCTGCTGAGTAAAAAAAAAATTCAAAATTATTTTTTTAAAAGCAGCAGTGATAAACAGAGATTTCGCTAGCCAGCCTTAAGCTTTTTCAAAGCATGCCGAGTTTTTGATTCTAGTCATTATAAATATTTAACTGTTTTGAATGAAGAGGACAATTCTTCAGTTTTTGAACATATCCCGATATTTGAGGATAAGGAAGAATTAATAAGTGAATTTAATTCTTACAAAGCAACGGTCAAGGAATTGTACATTGATGAAGGAAAATTGTTCCTGACTGAATGCTATCCAATTTTAGCAATTTGATGTTTGTCTGTGCCTACAAACAGGGTGGACGCATAAAGATCGTTTTCTAAGTACAAAAATGTATTAAGTGATTGATAACGACAAGTTTTTCCCATGACAAACTTGCAGTCCTAATTATTATTGAGTAAAATTCATTTCAAATGTAGGGTTGAATACCACCTAATTTCTTTTCTTTTGTTCATTTATACAAAGCATATCAGCTAGAATTTTCTTCAAAAAATTGAATTATTAATCTATTATAGTAAAAGCTTGATCTAATAAATACTGGATAATACAGAAACTACGTAAATATGACATGTTTTCCAGTCACCATCAAAATGCTATTATTAAAGATACTAAAGTGTCTTTGTACCAAAGTAAAAATTACCAGCATTTGCCACTAGCAACAACTTATGATAAAAACAAGATTCAGTGTTATCAATGACAGATCATTTATATACTCTTGTGTTATGATCTTTATTTAAATATTAAATGTATGTATTTGCTTATAACAATAAAGTCTGCATAATTACAATTCCATCTGCTATTGTGAATAGTCATTATTAGGAAGTAAAAAAAATAATATATTTTTTTAAAGCTGAAAAATGCTTGATAATATATTTTACAAAACTTAAATTATGACGTTTACTTCCTTGTTACATTACTAGTTACCTTGTTACATTATTAGTTTTATAAAACAATTAATAAGAAAAAACAAATATTTTGCTTTTACAAGTGCTTACAAATACTGGTTTGGTTCCTATCAAACTTCTGAAGTTAAATCCATCAGTTCACTTAACAAATCACAAGACAGGTTGTTTTTTTATAATATTGTTTAACGCTACTCAACAGCAGTAGTCAAAATGTATTGCCTAATACACTTAACAGATAAAACTATGTAGTACATAAAGGAAAAAAGAAATCTTAAATAAAACAATATTACACATAAAACTTAGTGAATACCTTTCTTACATTACAATTTTATAATTTATACAACTCTCATTTAAACTCAATTCTTACTAGAATTATATCGGAAGATTAAACTCATTTTAAATAAACTCCACAAAGAGATCTGAAAATACTGTTTAAATTATACAAAACTTGAGTTAAAATTATCTTTCAAAATAGTACACTAGTGAGTTGTTCTTTTATTTCACTATTGTAAAATTTTAAACTTTAATAAACATTTTCCCTTTCATGAAAATGAATAAGACCCTTAAGGTGTTTGAAACAATAAATAAGGTAGAAAAGATAAGGGGTGCTTTCAAATGTAACATTCAATATTTTTGACACCCTTCTCCCATTTGTTGAAATTTATCACGCTTCACAATACCTCCTACCCGCCTTTGTTACAGGACATTAAATAAACATATACTTGCAGTTCAGCAACAAGACATACCTTATCATTTTTTAAATTTTATTTTCAATATTTAACAATGTGATTTATGATAAATAAATATAACAATAACAATGATTACATGTGTAATAAGAGTCTAAAATGATGAAAGGAATGAAAATGAAAAAGTAACGAATATTTAGTCTGTCAATTTTAAAAGTTTCCATTTTAATAAAAATGTGCACTGTCATAGCTCTTATCGTAATCCATTGACAAAAACTCCCACTGTATACTTCAAGTGTGACATCATTTAAGAAAAGTCCTTAAGTCTCGAGAATCCTAAAATATTTTTGTATAGTTTGTGAACTGTTTTTAAATCCATGTCAAATTTTTAAAATTGTTAATCATATTTTATATTTGAAGAGAAATTAATAATTTAGAAAGAGTTTATTTAGAAATTAAAACTAAAAAATTTCATTTAAATAAATTAATAATTGCTTCAACAAAATTAAAAACACTAAAATTTATGTTTTTATTTAAAAAGACAGATATTCTGTGAATAGAAAACAATAGTATCCTTGTTGATAAGTTGCGTTTTTCTTGAACCATTGAGATTTTAGAATCAGTAGCACACACAAATTAAGTTAAAACTTATATTTAATTTTTTTTCTTAAAAATAAGTAAGAATATTAACACTTGACAGTTAGATTAAATTCAAGAGTAAAGCATTAAATGTAAAATACAGCCTATTTTATGAAATTTGATAACATAGTGAATTTGAGAATTTGCCCCTTAGCATAACTAACATCTGAGCTTGTGTAAGATTTTTTTTTTCACGATTGTTTGATCTATACTTTAGAATATAGTCTTATTGGAAAATTTAATTATGCTCAAGAAAACATAAAAATAATAGGCCCAATTTTGAGAGTAAAAATAAACTAAATATTAAATAGATTACGATTATTAATGATAAAATAGATTCTTGTTTGTAAAGAATATTATCATAACTTTAACTTATTGTGAGACTTAATAATATAAAATAAAGCATATTATTTCTAAAGAGCTGGACTGGTTCAATGGTAATGGTTCTGAGCTCCCATTGTGAAGAACAGAGTTTCAGTCCACTGCATCAGCTT